GCATAACTCTCTGGGAAATCGTTGAGAAACTGAACATCAGTTAAGGGAGTGTCCACAGGATCGTGACTGACGACTTGAATATGCATAAAGTGTCTGCCAGATGGATTTCCCGTCTGTTATCGGAGGAACACAAGCAACATCGATTGGAGATTTCGTAGAGACACTTTAATCGATTCCAGCAAGAGAGTGAAGCTTTTTTGAATCACAGTCACCTCTGACGAAACTTGGGTGCACCACTACACGCCCGAGTCGAAACAGGCGAGTATGAAGTGGAGAAAAAGCGGCGAGGGGACCGGTGAAGGCAAAGACGCATTTGTTAGCCGGAAAGGAAATGGCAACAATGTTTTTTGATCGGCAAGATGCTCTTCACATTGATTTTCTCCATGATCGACGCACGATTAATGCACAATATAAAAAGAAATGTAATGTAAATGTAAATTACTGGATGCCGGGACATTGTCATTTCGAAGGAAAAGGAAGAAGCAATCGGTAAGAAGTGTCATTCTTTTGCATGACGACACCAGGCCTCCTGCAGCCAATGCCGCAAGGCAAAAACTGGATGCATTAGGCTGGGAAACGCTGGAACATCCGCCATATAGTCCCGACTTGTCCCCTTGCTGTTTCCATCTTTTTGGACCCCTTAAAGAAGCCCTTGGAGGCCAACGTTTCGACGACGACGCGGTGCGGAAGCATTTGCGCTCCAATGGCTCCAACAATGTCCGAGTTCCTATGATGATGGAATAAAAAAGCTCCCAATCCGAAGGGAAAAATGTGTTTCTAGGGCGGGGCACTATGTAGAATGTTTATATTTGATCCACCCTTGTAGTATTTAGAAATGTTTTGTACAATGTATGTAACCTTATAAAATTGTTTATTTCAGTGTTTAGTGATGTCGGTACAATGTGTTTATGTGTCTTCATTGTTAAATTTGTGACCCCCCCCCCTTCAGAGTTACACCCTGTATAATATCAATTTATGAAAATCACCTGGTACGAGCTCCATAACTATCATGATGGGCTGTTTCTGGACGCAAATCCCGATTAATTTAACAATATTAGGATGATCGTACTGCTTCAGTATCCTGCCTTCTTGCAAGAACTTCTTTTTATGGTCCTCAGGCAGCGTCACTCGGCAGGTTTTAACCGCAACTATCTCATTGCTGTTCTTCAACTGCGCTCTATACACATCCCCGAAATTACCCTAAACAAAGAACGTGTATCGTTGGCGGTACATCTAAGAGTTTTAATAGTGCTTTTACCCTTCCAATTTTATCTAAAAGGACGACATCGTCGTTATTGAGCTCCCATCGTTCTCGAGGTATGGGTTTGTATAAAATGGCACCAGACCTACTCGTCACGGGGAGACCACTGTTAAACTGGTACAGAATTAACTCCCTTATACTTGGAAATGCCGGACCCTCGAACCTAAACAAACCCTAAAAATTTTCACTTAATGTACAAATGTTTTCTATCCATTCAATATTCCATTAAAAAAAATAGATAGATCAAGTAATGGAGTCAGGGTATACTAAATTTTGACCAAAAAATATCCTGATAGTTCTAGAAGGTATGATATAAACTATGTTCCGTTTAAGCACTATTTTTGAAAAAATATTTAAATTTTTCCGTATTGATGCCACATTGGATTTTATTTAAAATAAATAATTGTTATGTAGACCAGGGCGGATCTGTTTTGAGGTGGATGTGAGAGGGGGCAAGCAATATTTTTCTGGATTACCTTCAGTACAACTCACATAATATAAGTGTAGATCCCTAGATCTAGGCTAAGTCCGGAACATTTTCAAAATGCAAAAATGTTTAAAAAATATAAAAAATACCTATTTTATCTGAGTTTTTTACTTATGTCTTGGAACCTATGCATTTTGGAAGAATGTCCTAGAGGAAAAAAGTTTTAGAATTGAATTTTGCACAATATACTGTAAGTTAAAAGTGTTTAAATTTATTACCGATGTTGCGAAACAGCAAAAATTTTTTTAGAGGCCGCTGAAGATTTTTAAAAATTTCCAAAATCGTTCTCGTTTTTTTATCATTTTCTAGGTTGAAAAAAATGTCAATTCTGAAAATTTCAAATTGATATTTTAATTTCTAAACTTCTAACTTTAAAAGTAGTGTACTTACCTAAAATATTTTCGAGCGACCTCTAAAAATAAATATCAACGAACTAATATTTTTTTTATTGAATTTGATGACCAAAAGAATAGAAATAGAAAATAAATCACGACATTTAAAAAATTTCTCGAGGCAAAATTTACTACCGCACTGTGAGTATCAAATATTTATAATTTTTTAATTTTTTAAAATTTAAGTGTCATGATATATTTCTATTCTTTTGTTCATCAAATTATTAATTAAATAAAAAAAAATTATTAGTTCATTGATATTTATTTTTAGAGGTCGTTCTAAAACAGGTACACTACCTTTAGAAATTAAAATATTGATTTGAAATTTTCAGAATCAAGATTTTTGTCAACCTAGAAAATGATAAAATAACGAGAAAAAGAATTAAAAAAAAAATTGAATTTTTGAAGATTTTGGAAATTTTTAAAAATCTTGAGCAACCTCTAAAAAAATTTTTTTGAGAGGGCTCTTAAAACATGATAAACTAACATATTTTCACAAGAAACACAAAAAAAATATATTCGTTGAACTTGAAAATTTTTTCAAAGAAAAAAGACCGTTCAACCTTTCAAATGGTTTTTGAAAAATTAAAATCGATTGATTAGAACGGCCATAGTAAAACACTCTTTTTTTTTAATTTTTAAACAAATTACATTTATCAATTTGCAATTTAGTTTTTTTCAAAAATTATAATTTTAAGGTACTATTTTTTTCTTAATTTTATCTGTATTTGACAAAAAAATTAATTTCCAAATAAAAACAAAAAATGAATTTGTTTAAACAAAAATTATTTAAATAATTGTAATAATTATAACTAAATAGATTCATATTCAGTGTTGAAATATATACGTAAACAAATTTTTTCATTGGAAAAATTCAATAGCAGGGTAAAATATACAGTATAATTAATGCATAATTAATAAACTTTGTTTATAACAAAATATGTGCAAATTAGACAATTGGCATTACGATATTCAAACTCCTTGGCTCGCGAGACATCGGATTAAAAAAAAAAAGATCGAAATTGGTCCATTAGAAGCAGAGATAATGCAATTTTTTTTATACCTTCGCATTTTGAACCTCCGAATTTAGTCTTGGAGTGAAAGCCCCCTCCCCCATTTTTCGTGTTTTGAGTCACTTTTCACGCGTGCGAGCGACAGTTTTCCCACTGATTTATCTATGTTGCCGATAACTTATGGCTATGAAAATTTTTTCCAGCTTTGAACTCGGAAAAACGAAGCCACTGGATCAAAGATTATTGTTAAATTGTTTATAAATTAACGGTAGATGCCGATAAATTTTGACGGCTTATATCTCGAGAACCAATAAACGGAATTTAACTTTTTTTTAAAAAAAAGAAGCGTCATTCCGAGTACTTTAAAATTATAATTTTTGAAAAAAACTAAATTGCAAATTGATAAATGTAATCTAATTGATTAAAAATAAAAAAAGAGTATTAACTTTAAAAATTTACTGTGGCCGACCTAATCAACCAATTTCAATTTTTCAAAAACCATTTGAAAGGTTGAGTGGTCTTTTCTGTGTGAACAAATTTTCAAGTATTTAGATGCTTTATTTGAGGCTGTGCAACATTTTGAAAATTCGAAAAATTTTTTTTAAAAAGTTTTGCGAACAATATCGAACCGATTTTAATTAAATTTGGTGTGTTGTTTTATTATACTCTAAAGTTTTTATTATCAAAATTAGAATGCCCTTGAAAAATTAAAATATTTAAAAAAAATTATCCAAAAAACTTGATGCCTTTTTTTCATCGATTATTGCTATTTTGCAACATCGGTAATAAATTTAAACATTTTTAACTTACAGTATATTGTGCAAAATTCAATTCTAAAACTTTTTTTCCTCTTCAATATTCTTCCAAAATGCATAGGTTCCAAGACATAAGTAGAAAAACTCAGATAAAATAGTTTTTTTTATAATTTTTTAAACAATTTTGCAATTTTGTAAATGTTCCGACCTCGCCCAGATCTAGGGATCTACACTTTCATTATGTGAGTTGTACTGAAGGTATTCCAGCAAAAATTAGCTTGCCCCCTCTTCATCCAAGAAGTGGGATATTTCGGCAGATCTGCCCTGGCCTAATGGTAATATCAAAGAAATTATGCGTTATCTAAAAAAAAGGTTCAAGATTTTTGCCAACTGAAGTTAGTTAATTTTTTAAGCGATTTTCGTTTTTTTTTTCTGATAAAATCCAAATATTTTGTCTGTTTAAGCTTAGTGATAATAAAATATGGTTTGGAAAGGATTAAAAATTATGAATGGAAATATCAATTGCATAAATTAATTCTTAATACGCAACCAACAAAAGTACGACAGAGTTGGTACGGAGACACGACGAAACTACTCCATAAAATTTGAGAAATTCTGAAAGAAACGTTGTTTGCAACTTACCTCTGCTGTAGTTTGCACGATGAAATGCTTATGTCCTCCCCAGCAAACGGAGAGAACCGTTTGACACTCGTCATTTCTGGTAGTTTCCCTAACAAGAAAGTCTCCGTCTAGCGTCAGCAGCCTCACAACCTCCTCTCTCGGGAGCACTCCATGGAACCATTCCTCGTCTACTAATGACTTATTTGCAGTGGCTGAGACCTTTAAAGAGATACCTGTAAGCTCCTTGCAACTAAAAGCTTTATCAAAAAAAAAAGTCATGCCGCAGAGGCCACTACAAATTCAGAAAAGAATTAAAAATAAAACAGTAACGCATTGTCATTAGTTTTACGCAAACACGTTAAGTTGCAAGTTTAAGTAAAGAAACGTTTGCCGCTTACAAGCTTTGATAGTGCGAGAGCATACGAACGAACACACAATTGTCCTAGTGGTATTTAGGGATCAATTACCCCAGAGATTAGTATTTAATCAATCCAAAGCATGCAGTGACCTACAGGTTCTCCGCCTTCGCTGCGCGGGGCGGAGTCCCTCCTGCCCTTAGTGCGCGGCGGAGCAATGGGGGAAGAGGGTGCAGATTTTCGCCTAAACGGTTTACGTAACATATTAACTATCCTCTGACGCTCGAAAATGCTGCGTTTACTCAGCGCACTTTCGGAACCATTGCCCTAAAATCGTTAAGGAGTAAGGTGTTAGTCGTGATTGTCCCGACACCTTCAGCATGGAATTAACAACTACTTTCACCTGGTGTCCTAAACATTTGCTTGAAATTGCTTTGAAGAGATTGTATATTTGTAAATGTATAAACTCCCAACTCCAAAATAGTAGGCACATAATGTGATTCCATGGGCGTATCATATTAGAGGGTTCCAAAATTAATTAAATTTAGAGCAAGAAGCAGACATGTCGAATTTGGTCAAAACTAGATTATCCCTACAAATCTGCACTCACCTTGGTATATTCAAAGATCCAATGGTAGGTAAGTACCTTTTTTTATTTATATTTAAATATATATTTAGTATACAACAAAAGTGATAGGAAGAAATAGAACAGAAGTAAAAGAGTAGATGAACAGTGTTTGTAACAATAAATCATATCAAATGCGCACGGACAGGTTGAACATATTGGAACACTATGCGAAATGAATGGCACATTACAATTTCCTCGTAGAGAATATTTAAAATTATTTTATCACATTAAGACGTAAAAATTTGGGTTTGATACACTTACGACACAATGCCTACTATTTTGGATCTGAAGCATAGTACGTAAAGTTTTTTCACCTGTTCGGGAGAGTTGCTGATGAAAGTTTGATTGTCAATTGAGAGATCGCAAGCCGCCGGAGCCTCCTCACATCCCAACTCGTTTAAAGCACTTTTAATGAGGTCGGTTTGTTTCTGCATTTTTCTTTCTTGACATTTCAACTCGTTTATCTCTTTCTTAGACAGATCTATACTACTGGAAGATAACCTAAAAATACACAAATGACACATTTAATTTTTAGGTTACACAAAATATATGGCGACAATTCTTACCGGTTATTCACTTCACTGTTTGGGGTGGTTTTTCCATTGACTACTCCTTCATGGCTGCTAGTAATCGTCGTCCTTTTCTCTTGGTTCTCCTTAATGCTAGCTTCTAAATCGTTGAGTTTGGTCCTCAACCACTCCACCGTAAGGTTATCTACCGTGAGCTGGTTGGGTAAGAGTTTTCCAGCAGAATCCTCCACCAAGCTCTCATCAAATGTAAATTTTACAGGTTCTGTAGGAGTTGTCCTAAAAAGACATTGTTAGTTTTTAAATCTCGGTAAAAGTGAAATATTGTGAAAACAATTAATCAAAAAAAATATATAAAATCAAGAACAGTAGAAACTTTTTGTGCACTGTGGATACTTACTTGTGTTTTTCTGTAAAGTCTTTATATTCATCACAGGGTTTTATCAACTCTATACTAACTTCTATTCTCTTTTGGATCTCTTTGAATTTCTCCGAAGTTAGGTCCGAGTTACTTGCTATATCATTCAGTATCTGTTTCCTGGAGCCAAGAAAATAATGGTAAGTACAGTAACTAACATACAAAGGTTGCCTTTTAAAATTCGAGAATGGTCGATCCTGGTGCTGCCATCTGACGACCGACTTCCCTAATGTAAAGTTCGACTATTTGTTGGTATACTTACTCAGGACGTATAGGTGCATATGTGTTCTTTACAGTAACTTGAAAAATTCGTCATGGCCAAAAAATGGAATTAAGTTGTGAACATTTCCGTGCGATTATTTTTTACAACTTTCGACGTGGATTATCTCAACAAAGTGCATCGATGAACTTAATTCGACTTTTGGCGATCAAGCACCATCAAAAACCACTGTATATCGGTGGCATATGCAATTCAATTGTGGCAGTGGTTCGCTCACTGACAAATTTCGTAAAGGTCGTTCAAAATGGATTGTTGTTCAAGAAAACTATGATGCTGTGGTAACTGTACCATTAGTGCAACGTCGGACTGTCAATTTTGAATGGTACACAGAAATTTGTATGCCAGAAGTCTTCCGACAAATAAAGGAAAGCAACCGGTGAAGATGCATCATTTTCCACAAGGACGACAATGAGAGTTTTCAGACATCCGCTCATGCAAGACTTTTTGAAAATAGAAAAAAACGAATTTGATGAGTGATCCGCTATACAGCCCTGATTTGGCACCCAATGACATTTTAATTAAGCATGTCAAACATAAGTTACGAGGTCAACGTTTTTCGACGCCTGAAGAAACGGTTGGTGCATTCAAAAAACATATTTTGGAGATACCTGGATTGGAATGGAAAAAGTGCTTTGAAAATTGGTTCAAGCACATGCAAAAGTGTATTGATCTTCTTGGAGAATATTTTGAAAGACAATAAAGCCATATACGATGATTAATTTTTTTATTGCTCTTTATTCCCGAAATATAAAATGCAACCCCCGTAAAATAAATTTTGTGTTTATCTTATTTTGAGAAGCTTACCACGTAGAAATGAATGCTTCCTGCTGCGACTGCTGATGCTCCAATAATCCAGGAAGTAAGACAGTCCTGAAATCCTTTTCAAATTCCGCGGCTTCACACAGCAATAAGACATATTCGTTATGGGTTAAGTGTAATTTCCTACAAGCTTTTTGGTATTTATCCCTGACCTCATCTAGTTTTCTGCCGCCGCGACCAGCTAAATGTAAATTTTAAAAAATTTTTTAAGATATTTGGAAAGTTATAAAAATTAAAAAAATCATTTAAGTACCTATTTGTATTTTTATTATACGAGTACATAACGTATTAATGTAACTACAGTAACATATATTTTTGAGTAATTTGTTCTTTTTTATCCCCTTGAATACTTGGACATACTTAATATTACATGTATATGTATTTCCTTGTCTGAATTTAAGCGCACAAACACCCACACTATATTAAAAGAAGTAAGTAGTTGCAAATAGTTCTAATTCACACATTTAACACTTTGGATGATCTATTAACGTCTTCAGATTATTCAATATAAATCAAAGTTAGTTACGCAGGTTCACAAATTCGTAAGGCTCTATAAAGCTCTGATAGGTTATATGACATAAGATAAAATTCAAAATCAGAAAATGTTCATAAACGTTACTTACAGTGTATTTTCTTAATGGTATAACAGAACCGTAATTGGTAAATTTTGATTTGAAATTTGAATTAGCTAAACGGTTTGGTTGGAATCGAACAGCTGCAACATATAGCTGAAAGGATGCTAATTTTGATTCCTTCGTTTACCTATTATCGAAATCGTGCCAAAACTTATTTTCGTTCAAGGTCGCGAACTTGATGAAAATCTGAAATGCAATGCTGAACACAACTCCATATTTACATAATAAGTTATCTCAAAAATTACAAATATAGATATAGTTTGTTTACAATATCAAAATATCGAGCATTGAGGTATCTCAGTCATTTGCCTGCTCCCATTGGTATGTCTTTTTTATTTATAAACTGAACAGAAGTTTTGGACATTGCTTTTTATTTAAAGCAAGTATGTAGTATACTACATTTGATTACATATCCACTTTTCCCATTTATATACATTTATTTGTTAGAGATTAGCTGTACCCACAATTTACAATAAAATTAAAAATATAAAATATTTAAAACGGTTGATATTTAATTCTATAAAGTAAAATGATATTAAAAATATATTTTAATGTTTTCTTACAAGCACTCTTCAGAAAGTTCTATAGATATAAATTTTCTAATAGATCATGGCCAAAAAACATTACTGAATTCAATAGGCAATGTTTTGCAAAGTGCAACGTTTACAAAAATTAAAACTGAATAGTTAAAAAAAATATTACTTACATTTAACATAATGCTCCTCAAATTTACATCTCATTAATTTGTACAACTCTAGGTACTTCTGGTATTCAGTTTTTTTTCTTGTCACTTCATCCGATAACTGAAAAAAAAAAAAAAATACAAAACCATAACTATTTAGGTATGAATAAAAAATAAATACTATTAACTAAAATTTAAAATTTATGTAATTACATATATGGAATAAAAGATAGGTACCTACAAGTGGCCGTTAGATGTACCATACCCATGCTATATTTTTACGTTTTAGTAACAAACAAGTATAGATATTATTTATAGGGTGCTAATTTTTTTTTAAACATCAGAGTCATTAAGTAAGAGACATTGTAATGAATTTCAAAAAGGTCGTAAAATTTGAAATGTGAAATTTCAATTGTTTTGCAAAAAAATTATCTGCATTTTCATGTTCTGTTATTGAATTATGTACTGTCGAGTTATTCTGATATCTGAAGTTCCATTTGGTTCTATATCATCAGATTTATGGATCAAGAAATACCAAGAGAACAATGCCATTTCCAATATTATAATATCAAGCAAGCTTTCATAAATGAAAACTCAAAATACAATAAATTAGAAAAATTGGTAAATTAACAATTACTCTAGAACTCTAGAAAAAATTATTATTACTTATACCTATTAAATTTTTAATACATACGTTTTTATTGTTTGTGTTTAATTTTCAAAATCTAGGAAATTGTGAAATGCGGAATGAAAACCTATTTTATCTGTACATTGCGAATTTCTTCCTGAATTAATTCATAAAGAAGCTGGACAAGTGTAATACATAAAATCTACTGTCAAATAATTTAATGAATTTATTCAGGAAGAAAGTTATTCACGAATGAGAACATTTCTAATTTTCCCGAAGTTCCGAAGTACCAACAAACAAATATTGAAGTTAAATTAACTGTTTATATACCGGGTGTGCCATTTAACACTCTCGCTGCCAATATCTTCAAAATGAAGAAATTTATTTTAGTTTCGGAAACTGGGGTTGTTAGGTCCCTCGAATAGCTTCAAATTGCAGTTAGAATTGTTAGTTAGTTATAAAGTTTTTCCCAATATTTACTTACTTACTTACTATAATTTATTGTTTGTTAATTAGTATGTGGTGTGAATAAAGCCATTACAACAATATTCTAAAAGAATATTTTGTCTCAGTGTGATTTAAATAAAATAATAGATTTTCTTGTTACATCGTACATTGCATATTGAAGTCGACATGTCCCGAAAACAAGTAAATAATGGGAAAAACTTTATATTACAAAAATTACTTAAAACTTAACGATCTTTCAGATGAACCGCATTGCCACGTTCCAGGAATCAAAAAATTTTTTAGTATCGCCACACCATCTACACAGAAAGATTTGAACTAACTACAATTTGAAGCTATTCGAAGGACCTAACAACCCCAGTTTTTGGAACTAAAATAAATTTCTTAATTTCGGAGAAATTGGCAACAGTAGTGTTAAATGGCACACCCTGTATGTATTTACTTCAGCACGTTTTGCAAAAAGTGATACTTAAACTGGCAAAATAGGATTATAATCTTTTTTCATGTTATCTAATTAAAAAATAACTATTCTTAACAAATTCAAGAAAATATATTAATTTTGAATTTGTTTTTATTTACTACGACTTATTTGCAAAGTTAGCAGCAATTTTCCTTTCAAAATGGTTTCAAAGAAATTTAATAAGTTTAGAACGGTTTAAAACCAGGCCCTTTACGAATAAATTCATTAATTAATCAAAATAATCAGTCCTTCGAACATTCATTAAAATAATGTTTTGTATTCCTCAATTTGCGTTAGTTTATTCTCGGCATTTTTTCGTAAGAGAATGTGTGTGCTCATTTTGAATATACAATATTTTTTTATAATTACCCCCCTGAAACGTTTATAATGAATGTTAAATCTCATACGGGCACATTCTTAAGGAAACATCCTGTATGGGTATAATAAGTGAGTATATCTTGTATATCAGTCGAATGTGGCACACGAACACTACTACTGGACAAAAGAAAGAGGACGGACAGTCACCTCCATTCAAGAGTGCCTTAAGTCAATGAACCAGCCAAGTAATGGCTACCCGAGAATAACGTATCTGTTATACGATGTTAAGCTGCAAGAAGTGCAATTAAACATTACGTCCCAGGTGGTACGATACTAATCGGTAATCATTTAAATATAACAAGAGAGGCAAAAATATGTACTTCGTCGAATTACATTTACTTTGATTATATTTATCTGTTTTCGTTTCTTTGTGGTTTATGATCGACCTTTTAAACAGAAATATTAAACTGGGGAACAACTTCTATTATACATATACATCCACTGTAAGATTTGCGAATGGTTAATACCTATGAATGAATATAATTCGTGTCGTTTTAAAGTATTTATAATTAAGTAAGCAGTGCAGTACTATTGCGGTTGCTACTTATACTTAAATAGTGCGATAGTCCGTGTTGCCAAATGTTCCCTATTTATGGGACGTTTGAAGGCCCCATATCTTGATATTCAGGAAAGTGAATCATCCAAATTAGTTTGCTTGAGCTAAGATGCGCGCTACTTGTCATATAACGTCAACTATAAAAAAAGTTTGAAAAATGAAAAATGGAGATTCCATTTTAAACTTTTTTGTTCTTATTCTTTATAAAATTTTGACAAACGTGATTTCCTTGTTTTAAGCATTTCAAAATTAAAAAAGTGAAAACCCTGGTACTATTTTATTTACACCGTTATTTAAGGAGGGCGTTATTATACGTAATTTTCGGAGAATACGTGGGCTCCTCGTAGCTCGCCTCTACATCTGTAAAGTGTTTACAGCGGTGGTCATGGTTATTACCATCGCCCAGCGGTGAAAGACGGAGTGGGAGTCGCGCATTATTACTATGCAGTTTGTACTCTGTTTAGTTCGACCGTAACCAAATAATAGCTATTCAATAGCATTAAAAAAATATTGCAAAAATCGATAATCGATAAATTTTTATAAAAACAAAGTAAACATTTTTGTATAAGATTTCAGTATATTTTAATATCATGTTTTCTTTAAACAGTGCTTTAATAACTATTTGAAATTTTTGAAGTAATGCATGGTGCATGGTAGGTATATATATTTCTATTTCTTCGATTACATCGCCAATAAAACGATAAAACAATGACATATATATTGCTGGATTTGTAATTAAAAATTATATCCGACACCTTCAAAATATACCTAAAGTTCATAAAAAATAAGTATTAATGAATGACTATCACCGAAAACCTTGTAATGTGACTTCATATTATTTAATGCAAAACAAAATTGGGAATATTTTTCCATGAAAAAATCTGTTTTTCAATTATATCTTATCAAATTGATATCATATATGCTTTCTGATTGCATATTACGATTCCGTAGGGCTTTTTACAAATGACTACATTTTGTCTCATTTCAAATATCTCTGCTTCATAGCAAACAAGTAAATATCAATAAAAAAGAACTACGGATGATATGGATCCACCCCGTACTTATCATGGCAATGGAAAGCTCCTATTACTTAAACAATGGAAAACCCATGTACCTACATTAGTACTCAAGGCACATCAGAACGCGTAATCAATACCTACTAGATAACAATCTGAATTGTCTTGTTATCGCCACATACTGAGCAGTGCGCATATTGTTACCTACTCGAATAAGATATTCCATCGACAGTTTTGCTAGACATGCATTCTTATACAAAAAAATCGGAGACCTTGAATATTAATATTGAGTTATTTGTTGTTTCGTTTATCACATGATAGACATCGTTATCTATTAAAGTAAATATGTGTAATACCTATCATTTTTTTTGTTATTTGATGCTGGTCAAAATTATTGTGATCAGTCCCTAAAAATGCACAATAATCCGCCCTCTTAATCCTCATTTATTTGTTTTAGTTACAGTTGGATTATGTCTATACAATAAACCGAGTTATAAACCTAACTAACAAATACCTTTATCGCCTTTCGTTAAACATACACTCAACGAATTACAGTTATTCAAGGTCCATTCATTAATTGCAATTAGCTAGTTAAAATGGAATTATTATTAGAACGAAAGGTAATATAGTAACAAGCCGCAAAAAACATATACATTTCTATTTTATAGAATTCAGTAAATTAATAGTACTAATTAAACAGAAAACTTGCCCTTATAATATCAAACAGTTAGTTAAAAAAAATGATTGTACTATTCCCAGTTTCAATATTAATTTGAATTAAATTTTCATGAAAGACGTTTATTAGGAGATAAAAGCAGGTGCTGGATCAGAGGCGGCTCGTTATAGAAAATTGTTTAGAAAAAATTGTTGCCGTGATTATGTTTTTAGTAAAAAGTCGTATAATTTAGCAACATGTATAGACAATTGAACTAGGCGTTATTCTTATTTTGCAAAATAACAAATCTAATAAGAGTTACGGCGTGCCGATTTCCGGCCTAGGTTTGTGGTCCGGTACATTCGTACCTAGTCGATCAGGCTATTGATTATAGGATTTTAAAAGGAACTATCAGTTTTTTAATGCTAGCTCGAAAACGAAGCAAAATTTCGCTATGGTTCATAGGAAAAATTATTTAGATAATTGAATTTCCCATCGAAATGGCTTATTTAAAAAATTTAAAAGGAAAATTTTATGCAAAAAATCGTTAATAAACAATTAAAAAAAATGCAAAAAATTCGATTTTTTATTTTTTTCCTTTTTTGCCTCTAGCTTTTTTTTTGAGTAGATAGGTATAGGCATTGCTTCATAAAAAAAAGTTGATAAAATTTCCTTCAAAAAAAGAAATTATACAGTATTTTTGGATGAGAATTGACTGGTATATGGTCGCTCAAACTTAGCCAATTTTTCGATTTTCGTCGCGTGTACACTTATACGTTTTAATTTCATTTCATTTTTTGCAAAAAATAAGGATTCTTTCAAGGATTTTCATCACATTACCTAAGGTCATTAAAAATGAAAAAACCACGGGGTGCTATTAAATTAGAGAGTTGAAATTGAAGATAGGGGTGAAAATACACTTTTTCAGTTTTTTAAATATAGCATGAAAACAAAGCAAAATATCGGTATAGTTCATAGGAAAAATTTTGTTGAGAATTGAATTTTCCATCGAAATGGCTTATTTTAAAAATTTAAAAGAAAAATTTTATGCAAAAACTCGTTAATAAACAATTCTAAAAAAAGCAAAAAATAAGATTTTTTTTTACTTTTTTCCATTTTCACGCATAATTTTATGTTGCACTTAAATAACAATATCACGAAAACTAAATGAGATATCTACAATCCAAGAATATGTGGTTACAGAGGAGGTTATGCACAACGCAATGTTGCCAACTGCATATCACTAAATATCTCCATTAGCGCGTGATTAACAGTTTGGCTATTTTCTGAACAGGCCTCGTATAACACAATTTTAACTTGTATTTATACAAAATTACTTACTTTTTATTAAAATAATTTCCTGTTTAATTTTGTTTGCATGAATAGGGAAATGATGTGTCATACATTAGTAACAATATTACAGCATTTTGAATACAATGAAATATTTTTGTATATTATTTATTTTTATACTAAAAAAACATATCTTTTAATTTAAAATATTTGGTTCTTTATCAAACTGCAAGTAAATTTCCTATATAGCAGTTAAACAAACCAGTCACTAACAGAAATAAACGTAAAAAAATAAACATGTAAAACTGTTTCCTCTGTAATACTGTTGTCGCACTTCCTCTATACAACTTTGCCGAGTTAAATTAATATGAACAAGCCGAGATAAAAAAATTGCAGAAATGCCATAAAAATTTTAACCTAGGGTTCCATATGAAGAGGTCGGCCCTGGTGAAACCTTTATAAAAATAGAATTTACCTGTTGAAGAGACGGTTTCGGAGTAAACTAACTGAACATCGTTAACAAAAGTCAAGGACTTTATATGCTTGGGAATGATGTGGAAGATCAGAAAATTTGAAACGCAATAGAACAACCATTTGGTTATATTGTAACAGATTTTCTTCATTTAGCACAAATTTTTTACAATAGTTTCCCAACCTTGACGACTACTTTGACGTTCCAAAATAATAATTACAATTTAACTTTCAAAAGCACCACCTTCCGAAGAAGAGCAGCCACTTATATACATATTTTTCATTGTTTCCCGAAATTTAAATACACGATAGAAAGAAACAGAGCTCTAGAAACATTATGAAACAAATTAATAAATAAACGTATAAACTACATAATATGCATGTACACTAAGCTGATTTTTGCTACATCCGTTACAATATTATACGTTACAGATAAACCTTGGTTGAAAAATAGAATAGCAATAGAGGTTAAATTGTACACATACATCGATCTCACTAAAGGAAATCGTTGCACGTAGATATACGTGTACGTTTAGTAATAACTCAGACGTTGATTTCTTATAATCAATGGAATGGTGTACTAACAGCAATTTATAATTATACTGGTAGACAGCGCCTTCTAGAAAGCTATTGGACCGCAAAGATCTTGTGTCACTTCCACAAATACACCGGCATCTAATAATAGACGGAAATAGTGAATTTACATGGTGGTCCATGCCTGGATTTACCATTTTAAATGCCTGCTTACTATTCCCAGATAATGTAGGCCACTGTCGCAATGAATGTGTACCTCGGTCTTGTTTCTATCAGATATACAGGACTCCCAATCAAAGTTTTCAGTCGAATGCAATGATAGAGAATTGACAATTTTAACAAGCAGGCACACTCTATATATAAAAATTCCTGAAAAATACACCCATATAAAAAATCATAGTGGGCCATGCGTTCGCGGTAATGGAGGACTAAATGATTACCTTTCAGGGCCTACTTGTATTTAAGGGGATGTTAATACGAAAAAACAGACACACCTTATTAATATTCACTCGTTATATTCGATAAAAGATCACTGATCCGCTCAGATTCTAGGGGTATAAAAATAGTCGCGGTAGGCCTTGTATCAGCATCCGCACCACGCCTAAACGTTCGAGGATGCGAAATTGAATGCTATGTACAACAAAAAATATTTTTTAAGATATCTCACAAATAAAGTCTACGGTGTCTACTAGCACGCCTGTTTGCAAATTTTATAAATGTCTACTAAATACTTTAGCTGTTACACATGTTAGAGCGACATACGTATTTATTTAAAAAAGTACGGCGCCCTTCCTTTTTTTATCGGGCGGGCGATTTAACAGACCTTTCATTGTGAACACACATTTGCTAAATGTAGACTATTTACGACTCGAACAGAGCCAATTTAACCAATTGACTTCCACCCGAGGAATGGCGTCAACAATCCTTGTTCCATTATCGGCCTCTTAATTTAGAATTACTCTTGCATTATACCTACGTTTATAAACTAACGTTGAAATGTTAATTAATTTTTTTAGCGATAAATCCAGTGAATAGATGATTGCATGATTCTAATAGTATAGATTGAACATATAAAAAATATTTGGGAAATTTTGAGATCTCGAAAGGGGTTTCACAGATCATAGCAAGATATTTTTTTTGGTCTACTGGTAGGTGCTGTTAAGATTTTTTTATTAGGTATATATGTAATATTAGTAATAAACGTTTTAACCACATAAAATAATATATCCGGACACTGTCTGACATCTATGGAAGAGTGGAAAAGTATATAAAATGATATTTAAACAAAAAAAGAAAGATAACACTATCGGTTGCCCAAAAACGTTGCCTTGAGTGGAATAAAGAGCGTTTCTGGTAAAGTTTTTGTCTGAGATTTGTAAAATGGCCAACTGTCGTGGGTGTCAGTGGAACAATTGTAATTGATAGTTGTTATACGTGATTTACACGGATTAAAACCACGATTAGCAACAAAAGGCGCCGCTGTTAGGTATATAGTTGCAGAACGTGCCGTAATTTCTGTTCGTTTGGGCCATATTTTACTGTTATGTCTTCTTTGTTAGGGAGCTAACATTTGAGGTAAGCGTGCACAAAATTTTAGTAAAAATATCAATGGCTGACGTTTTATAGACAAGAAATAGCACTTTTAGTAAAACAACGATTCCTTATTCTTTTAATGTTTCGCATTGAAAGATCACGGAGAACATGTAAACATCAGAAAATGTACCTTTAATACTTTGTCCAGCAAATTTGTAAATATGCTCAATAATTATGATAAACGTATGTGTTAATAGTTTCCTAAAAGAATTCTGCGCGGTGTGATTGGGCTTAGTAGGCGATTTTTTGTATGTTCAATAGGGGTCCAAAATTCAGTAAACGTAAAATAAACATACGAGGTAAAAATATGCTTTTGTTCCTTATTTTGAATGTATTCAGTTGTCTTATGCCCTGAAGAAAACATAACTGGTATAGTGAAGATATATTGTTTCTAACTTGTTCAGATTTTCTAAAACACTCGACAAAAAATTGTCTTTGCCCCCCTAATATTACTATTGAGGAGCAAATTGCATTTCCATTACATTTCCATTTTCGGTGGAAAACTAAAAACATCCATTTGTAAAATTGTTTTTACAAACAATTTCCATACGGTATGCAGATTTGGACTAGGCTTTCCATGACCTGATCTTACCTTGATGCCTTCACCTAACCTAACAGTAGGGTGATTAATATTGTGCGTAGTAGATCGATAATCTTGCCGGCGCCGTAAAAACAGTTTTTTATTTTGGTTTTTGTGCTTAAATTTTTATTAAACTGTCATTTATTTACTGTTTGTGACTTGTGCAAGTAGTGAATAAAAAATGGGTCGTTTTCAGAGAAGTGGAAGAAAATCCAAAATTTTAATCGAATTCAGGAAAATTGGATTCATAGATGTAGATCAAGTGTATACAGCAGCAGCGGCCATCTTGAACACACGCTGTAAATGTTTATTCCTCGTTCTATTCCGAAAAGGGTTGAGGTTTAAGAAAATGGTAAGTAATAACAGGATAAAACTCATTGTAATTAGGTGGTAAGTAATTCTTTCAATCCACGTGTTGCTTTAAAATGAACAACTTCTTTAAGGACTATTTTCTAAATTGTTAAAAACATCGTGGCATATTCCGTAGAAAGGTAATACAGTTCTTACAGAATACGAATAGTCTCATTGGGTACGTAACTAGTCTTTTTCTCTAAGTCTTTTTTCATCTGCCGGGGAAACGAAGAAATATTTTTAGGTGTGCAACGTTGTCACACTTCTTTAAATTGCCATAATACTGGAAACGTTGGTCGGAGAAAAAAAACACTTATTTGTTTCCTATATTCCAATGTATCTTATATTAATAACAACACTTATTTACCGAACACATTTCATTATATACAGACACTGCAAGATTTAACTAGAGCTGCAGGGGTAAAATGAAGTATTTCGAGGCTATAGTCTTCAAGATTATACGTTCAACGTTCAAGGATTTCATCAGTATTTTGAATTTAAGTACATCTACTGAAACCACAACTTAGTTATAAGATAAACATGAGTATAAGCTAAGCTGTAATCGTCTAATTAATATTTCACACTTACCTGCGTGAATTGCTGCAGTATTCTCGTATGCTCCTCCTGATACAACTTCCTGGCTTTCCTCTTCTCAGCGTAGAGCGCGTTCAGGGCATCCAAGGACTTGCTCTCGATAGAATCGGCATTCTGACGGATCAATTTGGCGGTGTTATCCAACTCCTCCATCATGTTCTTCCAAGCCGAAGCGATTAGGCTACCTGTGGACAAGTTAATGCTCGATTTAAAAGTATCAAGTTCTATGTACAGTGCGTTTCACTTCAACAATCATAACTCCACAAACAAGGGATACCATACGGATAATATTTGTTTTATTATTGTTTAAAGGCCGTCTTCTTGCACTGTTTGGCACTATGGTGTGTAGTTAGGTAAAGTTATGACGTCACTAGAACGGAAAGTAATGTCAGCGAAGGCGATCGATTCTTAATAACATTATATACAGGATGTCCTAGAAATAAGTGCAAAAATCTTAACCACATATATTCGAATTTCATCCATGCTGCAATAATAATTCGATAAGCGTTCAAAAAGTTATCCATGTGACACAGACCTACCAAAACCACAGACAGGAAGCCGCAGACGAGCTATGATTTATATCGGAAAGCGCAACGCGGAAAAACGGAATCATCATAGATGTAGCAGACGATGCTGACCACACATGCCCCTCATCGCCCACACTTTCGGATTTTTGTCAAGTTTTTAGTCTAAATATTTCGAAACTAGCCCTAAAGCCAGACCTTAGGGTAAACATTAATCAAAATAGTTTACAGTTTCACAACTCATTGAAGACCTCTGCACAGGAACCTTGCGGAGTCTGCGTAGAAAGTGCTCGAACGTCCACCCAAGTACCATGCAGTTCAATAACCTCAGTACATGAAATGTTTATACTTTTGTCTTATATGCAGGTGTTATATTATTACATTTATTACATAATGTTAATCAAAAAATTTCAGTGTAGTCCTAAAAAAATATTATCTACAATATCTACTTTCTTAGTGCGACATGTTTCTAGTTAGGTAAAAGTAAATTTGTAATAGCAACCCCTCGACTGACATTTTTTGGTACATGGTGCAAAAATAAAAATGAAAATCAGACTTTTTTTTATTATTTATGTCATTTATGAACTTATGGTTTTCTTTCTTGTATATGCTTTCTCTAATATTCTTACATGAATAAAAAGTGAAGTATATTTTATTTACCTAAATTGAATAAATACTCACAATTGGCATTCCTATCTTTTATAGAAATTCCGCTTTTTGTCAGTCGTCCCCAAAAGTCATAAAGCAACTGTTAACGCATCTGTAGATACCTACGTTTGAGATATAATAGTTATAATTTGTATCAGAAACAGTTGATGTCAGTCTGTCAGTGGTACCATCTTACAGGTGACAATTGTTCATTCTGAGCACACTTTCTAAAATTTATGAAAGTGCGCGTTCTGAAACAACAAAACTTCCAATTTATTGATTATGAGACTTACATAATATCAAAAGTAAGACATATTAAGTATATATTGCCTGTAATCGCAATTAGTAATAAGTTAGTCAAAAATAAGTACTGATGGAATTAATCTCCAGTGAAACCCGAAATTGAACAAATGAATACCTGAATGTTTGTAATCTAAGGGTGTTAGAAGTTTGACTACCTTAATTTTAATAGACGATAGGATACATTAAAATAAACAAAAAAACCTTACATGATATGGGTCCTAAACTCGACCATTTCCGAGAAAAAAAAAATTATCTAAATCTCCAACTTGTACAAAAGTTCGATTAATTAAGGGATACTGTACACATGACATAACTGCGTGCATAGAATACCATAAAATACAATGTTTATAACTTTTTTGAACTTATTTATGCTTAATTCTAAAAAATAATTAGCGTTGTAATAAATTTAAAATTTGATAAAATTCAGATCGAGCAATGTGACAACGGCGCAGCGATTAACACGAAGTACTAAGCTGTCCAGCATCACAAAATTTAGTTAGTATCTGGATTGGACCGTGTCGGACTGTTTTTTGCGTACCACTATTTCCTTTTCTAGTGGTTTTTCCAGCGAATCCACGAAAATTGGATTCGAAAATGTCGTGCGAGCATCGAAAATGGTGGTGGACATTTTGATCATATGTTGTAGTTTGTTTTGTACATGTGCGTATAAAAATTACTGAATTCTGCTTTTTGGTAAGTACCTAAATTATTTTTAATGCGTATGATTATTTGGAAGTGAATCTTTGGGTCCTTTAATTACATATTTTTCAAATTCATAATTTGGTTAAAAGTTAAAGCTAAAAGCTAAAATTTAAGCACAACACTATCTTCGTATTGTCTTTCCGATATCAACTGAAGAACCAACAGATTGACAGTATGTACCAGGTTCGGTCGCTGACGCAGTAACTCTGCATTGAAATATTTGAAAAACTTGTTCCCATATTTATTTAGCCATACCCATATACAGGTTTGGTCGAACTAAACGTGGAGGTAGTAGAAATATATATGCCCAGTTGCATTGGTCTACTGGGCAATAAATCTCAACAGTTGACAAGTGGTTGATAAATTGTCCAGCAGTGCAGTGCAGCAATGCGGAATTTGGTGTTTTAGGTAATTTTAATTTATTATAGGCACCTTCTAACAATCATTCATATTACAATTGCGAAAGAGAGAAATAAGAGGGATATTTTCGAGGATATTTTGTTTACTAATATTATCACAACATGGCATTTTGGAGATCTTTTGAAATGGAACAAAACGAAATTTACCACCAATATAATAAAATTGTTTGAGGACATAAATAATTAAAATATGTTGTTGGCCAAATGAACATTAATAGAAATTTTCTACATATTATATACAAATTATTATAATTTTTTACCTTTAGCAGAAAACTTTTTTAGGCGCGCCTATGAAATTCATTAAATTTTATTGCCAGGCGTTTTTTTGCATGTTCAACTGACTTCGGAAAGACTATACTACAAAATCGATGCATTTTATTTTATTTATTCAAAAACTGGAAAATTGTTTTGAAATTTACTAAATGTTTCACAGTAATAGTTGTTTACATTTTTGTAATTCCAGGGTAAATCTGCCCCGTGCACACGTGGTGCGCATCATCTGTATAACAATAAGTTAAGCGCTGTTGTCACGTTGTGATGAAACTCCCCAATATTAATACTCGCTGTATTTTAAAAAATGTTAATGTTACGCCCCTGTAATATACAACTTTTTTGTTCATTTATGATTACTCTATCACATGCTGACGTAATGGTAGTCAAACTTCTTACGTATATGATTTTCTGGAAATAAATATAGGACTTTTTTTTCATTCAAAAATCATAATATGTAGTAAAGATGTAAATAGCAATAAAAAGGGAATTATGAACGGTAAAAGTGAAATATGTATTAAGATTAGGAAAACATTTTTTTAATAAAGTAAGTTTTACATCGAATATTACATTTAAATTCAAAATTTCATAATTTTCAGCATATTCGTTGCCTAGAAAACTGCATATCCTCATTATTGTGTGTTCACACGCATGGAAACAATACGTGTAAAGTAGGCTGCTGGAAAATACATAATTAGGTAATAATAACTTATGGATACTTAAATATTTTGTTGTTTATAATAATTATATCCTGTGGATGACATTGTTATTGTTCTGTGAATTGAAGTATGTAATTTGATTTATGCGGACCTAATTTTAACCCTACTAAACTTTGTCCATCATTATACAAACTTTGACAGCAGTCTACTTCATTTTAAATTTCAATCTCGATTGCAATAGATACCACGAGTGTCGGTTTCGGTGTCGGTACACAATTATGATTGATGAGAAATTAATATGCAGCTTTCTAAGCAACTAATCTGCTGAAAGATAGAGAAGTTTTTCACAATCCTAATATTTCAAGTGCTTTACTCTTACTTACATTTAATAAAAAAAATACTCTGCCATCTTGAAAATAAGATTATTCTGCTGATATTCATATCTTATAATATCTCATCAATATTTATAAATTTATTAAGGAAATCGAGAAGGAAATATGATTCCGTGGCCTTTGCTAACGGTAGTTTATTTTTAACAGCCAATTTGTTTTTTTGTTCTGATAACGCCATGGTTGCTTAAGACAAATACACTACAGTGCCGATTAGTGCACAAAGACGCCGTTAATAATAATTTTTTATCTTATGAAAATATGGCTCTGTATTCATTTGGACGTCCACCATTTGAGCTAAATTTTCATCAAGACGTCAAAGATCCTAAATTATCCCTGTGTATATTTTTTCAAAATATACAAGACTCGCACAATCGCATTTTGACTAAAACTGCCGGATTTTCAACCTCGCGTTGATGACATTTGCCTGTTTTGTGGTAGACAGGTTTTAAAACAATAAAGAAAAAAATTATTATATTTGCAGTTATATTTTACTTATAAAAAAATAGTTATATAGTCTTGGTCGATTCATTCATAGTCATAATACAAACAAAACGTGCTTATTTTTTGCCCTTGCCTTGCTTTGCTTTGAAAATAAAGAAAGAAATAAATTGATTGACTTACGTACATGAAAAAAAAATATGCGGCAAATAAACGGGGCCCAGATATGCAACTATAGGTGCCTTCGGGGACATCTCTTTTTACCATATAGTTGATAGTTTACATTAAACAGCAATTAGTAATAAGTAGTAAAAGATTTAATGGAACTTTTAAGTTAACAACGTTCAAAAATATTCACGGTGAACCGAGGGGTAAACGAACATACAGTAACCTAACACTAATAACTTTTTTCATTCTCCGCGTGTAACTTAGTGCGGGGCAAAGAAAAATGCCCATCATTGCGTTTAAATATCAAGAAGAACAGATAAACATAATGTTGCATTTAGTTTTTATCGTATTTTTTTTCTTTACAATGCAATTTTTTTAAATACCCGTGGAATAAATAATATAATATTTATATTCGTTTCTCTTCCAACCGAATGTCACATGGTTTCGCAAAGGTGTCTACTATATCTAGGTATTATTAAAAAATAGCTTGAAAAATAGTAATAGTAGTTAACTATAACATTATTTAAATGCAAATACAAATACTGTGATACTAACTCTGCCTGTTTGAGTGACCCACTGACCTATAGCTTTGTGCTGATGTTGCATACCTTTGTGGGGAGGAGAGTCTCGAAACTATCTATTCTCTTCTATCGCGGATAGAAGAAACTATGTACAGATGACATTTTTTTAAATACCTACTTATTATTAGGGTAGGAAGTCAATACCGGAACCGTTTTATTTTGAAAACACGTTCTACAATCGTGTTGTTTAATAACATCTGATATCTATATTAATCACACCATAAATCATAATATTCCATATCATAGACATTTAATGTTTTGTTTTCTTATCATTGACAACAAAACAAAGCAGCAGATAGGTAGAACGGAAGAATCTAGTGTAGAATCAGCTGGATCCACGTCACGTATAATACTTAACAAAAAGGTCAATTTGTCATCAATCGATCAACGTTAATTATCCGTGGGAGTGTCTACCTACTACACTACTCTCGAAAACTTGTTGCTCACCTGATAGTTCATCACTCTTGTCAACCTTCATCCCTTGTGAGGCGACCGCACTTAGAGCCACTGCATAATCCCTATCACTTCTCACTTTCGAAACAATACATCTTTTCATTGAATCCAACAGCCGCAACTCCGCATCTTGTCTAGACAGAAGAGCTTCGTGTGCGACTTTGCCCTGCAGGTTCGCCGAGAAACCCATTTTTGCAATCGACAAACGGAAACCTATCACATATTCAAGACACTTGCGAAACTGGTTGGCGAGATCACATCATCAAGGTTCAGAAACAACACAAACACGTCGTAACGTCGAGTTCAATTTTATTAGGAAGTATACGGGGCACCACGGAATAAAAAAAAACAATATTTAGTATTATTGTTGTTGCACTATCGCCCATCGGCAACCCAAAAACTCCGATATTGTTCCCGATACCTGTGCGACGTCTTCGCGCAAGAAACTTAGGACATATCCATTTGGCTGACCAAAGCCAACTCGCTCGGACTTAAACAGTTGTGGACTTACGGACGAGAAAGGTTCCATCACGTCTTACATTGGATTTACGAATCTATTCTCAGCGGTGTTCACCTACGACAGGCGTCATCTCGACGCAGTTTTACACAACAATGCCAGAGATCTACCTGGCACCGGAAGCGCGGGTGGTTTGATATGTACTGAAACTGACTGAAATTGGAATTTCTGATAACCAGAGATTTATTTTATAATATGGCCTGTCAGTGTCAGTCAATATGTGATTGTGATCGCATGCAATGTTGCCAGACTTACAACAATTCTCGTACGTAGGTATATGCAATAAAAATATTTTTCAAAAAATAACTAGGGTATAACAAAAACTCTACTGTGTAAACTATTCGCAAGTTAATAAGAAACACATTTTCATTTATTCAAGATTACAGACCACTATTAAAAACCTGTATAATTATAATTACATCAGTGTTAAAGCTTGTTTCATAAAATTTGTTTTCGATAAAAGGATTATTATTAGATTATGCGAAACATTTTTAACATTACATTATCATCAGGAGGCTTCACGGTAAATAACATGTATATTATGTGATATATATTTTGAAACCAAAAAATGTGTTTCATTTGTATTTTACAAGCACTTTATGAAATCGTTGAGTGAGAAACTATTTGAAAAATAACTATCTTCATTATTGTTAAACACTTTAAAATGTGATGATGTAAATTTACAATCTGGCAACCTTGATCTCATGTTTTGTGATAATTAGCTAATAAGCTAAATAATCCTCTCTGCCCCTCCTCTTCTTGCCGTTGCCACCGCTTCATCTTGGATGAAGAACTACAATTATTTATGTACAACTTTTTCAATTTTTTTATCATAGAACAAGGGTAAAGCTGCTTTAATCGTGTAAGCTATATAGTTCAGCTGTCGATTTAATAAGTTCATAAAGTACATAATAATATTATATAACATACTTTATACAAGTTCGGAAAGTACCGATGGTCCATCTGCCGTTACGTGAGAGCGATAAAGTAAGTCATAAAAATCCGTGCGATAAAGATGGCTATAATGAAGGCGTCTAATAGTCACCGCCCATTTCGCCCTTCCACAAATAAGATCTACTTCTTATTTGTGGAAGGGCGAAATGGGCGGCGACTATTAGACGCTTTCATTATAGCCATCTTTCTCTATCGCACGGATTTCTGTGACTTACTTTATCGCTCTCACGACTGCCTTGTCATTTTGACGTTTCACAATTTTATAGTTCTAAAAAATTTATTTTTGTTACCTGTGCAAGAAAAGTACCTATAAGAAGCTCTTATTTTAATTTCAAAAACGATAGGGTAGAATATGACGGACGAAATTTGATTTCACAACACAGTAATGACAAGGGGACTACATTTAAAACGTCAACCACAAAAGTATGCAAAATAATTCACCTTATCCAGTGTCAAATAAGAAAAACTCATTTTCAAATTTCGTGTTCCAAACCATTAATCATAAATTTAAAAGGGATCTTAAATCAGAATCTTTTGTGGATTCATTCCATTACAAAAGAAAAAGTCCTAAGAAGAATAGTTACACGCAAACAAATTTCAGGTCCAAAACAAACATCAACTTAAAAAGTCCCAAAAAAGTGGAGGTATTTAGGGAAAACAGTACACAAACTAGTAAAACTGTAGTGGCTGTTGTTCAAACAGAACTTGACATGAGATTATCACCAGATAGTTTAAGTCCGAAGCAAGGACCTCGTAAATCAACAATCGTAGATGATGAAGTATTAAACATGATGGAGTCAGTGCTAACAGTAAAAGAACTCGACAGTCTGCCTTATAATAGAAAGCATAACGTTATCCAGTACTTGGAATCTTGCGAAGAGTTCCAAAAACAAAGATTATTAAGTGGTAATACATTAACAAAAGCGTTTCTTGCAAGAATTCAAAATAGAAAGGGACCATATGATTTGCAGTTGCAGGAACAACAAAATTTGGACTCGAATAAACCAGTCCAAAATTCAAATGTTCTTGCTTCTCCAACATTAAAAAGTCAGTCATACATAGAATCTCCTACGAGAAATGAATCATTTTTTATAAACCAAGAAAAGGTTAAAGTTCCTTTAAAATCTTCACGATTTATTGTAAAAAATGTGTCAGAAAAAATATCTGTCGAAGACAGAACTAAACCGGTGAAATATTATTGTCGATCTAGAGCTTCAAATTCCGCTAGTACTCCACTGAGGCCAAGAAGGAGTACTTCTTTCATGTCGCCTACCATTGCTAGTGAACAGAAGAATCAAAGTATTGCAATGAAAAATATAGAAAAACTTATATCGCCCACTCGAAGGGGCCGATCAGTTAGCCCTAAGAAATCTGTCATAACAAATCCCGAAGAGGAAAAAAGGAAGGAAAAAAATGTTCCATACTTTGATAGAAGTGATCATACATCTGAAAGTGATACAACAGTTAAAAATATAAAAAAACGCAAAGCTAGGGATAAGTGCGTAGAAGATTTACATTTAAATTTAGCATTATCATTTGATGTGAGTAAATTAGGTATTTAATGATTTTTTTAAATGATAGGTAGAGTTTATTTCATTAAATGTAAAAAATAATATGTTATCACAATAGAATGAAAGTTCATATTAGTAATTAATTTGAAGCACTATTTTGAAAGATATGCAATATTTTCAGGATATGACGACCTCTGTATCCATAACCTCTTCGACTTCGACAGAATGTATTTTGTTCCAGGCTATTAGTAAACTGAGAGATCAGAATTGGTAAGTGATGAGATCTCTCAATAGGCGCTTATATGTCTTCTTAATTTCATTAGGAATACTGCTTTACGTGGCCTAGCCGAAGTTGTTGAGATTTGCAGAGTTTTAGACAACGAAATTATACTTCCCCATATGCCAATTATAAACCAGAGGCTCATAGAATTAATAAAGTGTGCTAGATCACATGTGAGCAGAACAGCTTGCCAAGCTGTAGGTCCTCTTTTTGAATACGTCAAAGATACGAGACGACCGGTAAGGTTTCGTCATACAAACAGATGGCGCAAATCATGTTTGTTTTTTAACAGTCCCGAATGATCTTGTACAGACAATTCAACTATCCGTAAATTCTACCTTAATAAATTTCGACAGGAATTCGACGAACTGGTCAACACGCTCCTCTATAAAACTGCTGATGCCAACAAATTCATCCAGCACGATGCCAACCTCGCTTTAGATTGCATGGTGACACACGTTGGCACCTACCACGCCGTCCGGGCTATAAGCAGTAAAGGACCAGACCACAAAAATCCACTAGTGCGGATAGCAGCCGCCAGGCTGATGGTATGCGCTGTGGTAATCGCAGGGCCTGAGCACATCCTCCACCCTCACAACAACGAATACACCAGGAAGAGAATTATCTTGAACATGGTCAAATTCTTGGAAGATAAGTGCCACGAAGCGAGGTACGATTTTATCAGTCAAAATAAAGTTGATTGCGGGCAGGCCTTCAACTAGAAATATTAAAATGGCTAAATGGCCAAAAAATTTGAAGGTGGCTCAAAAGTTACTTTTTTAATATGACTAAAAAAAACTATATAATACTAGAAACATTTATTTTGAAACCCTGTTTATATATTTAATATTTGAAAAAAAAAACTACATAGGTAAAGGGTGTAATTGTGAATGGAGGTGATGTTTATATGGAGGTTACCTTTGACCTTTACAACTACATGTCATAAGTTTGTTTCATACTCATTTGTTTCATACAATTGTGTGAGCTACGACATGCATTATTGTGAAATCTCATCTTACTTGATCCGTATACATGTTTTTTTCACATCACAGAAATTTAATAATGAAGACGCACAAACTCACCGTACCGTAAAATTTATGTCTCACAAAGTTGCATATTTACATACTCACCTTCTCGTAAACTGAAAACTAAAATAAATATAAAAAAATGAAGCAGTGACATATTGAGCCATTCTCGTTTCGCCGAATTAATGACTGCAGTTTATTTTTTGCCCGTTTAGCGCCTTGTTGTTATATCACATATCACATCAGCATAAGTATTACATAATTCACCCAAACTAGGTCAATTTCAGAGGTCGTCGACAATGAGATTTACAAACTAAACACGGTTCTTTAAAAACATAATAACAAATATTTTTACTAAAACCTATCAGACTAGTGAGATTCATATTTTGAATTATTTTTTATTGCTTACATTTTATAAAACAGTAAAAATAATTATTTTAAAATATAAATTAGTTTTACTTACCATTAAAAAAATATGGTGACTTTAAAATAACATGCTGCGAAGTGCGAAGTCATACAAAAGTTAGATGTTTTTTACAAAATTATTTTCCATTGCAATTTCGTTCTTTGCTACTCCATTAGTTTCATGGGGTTGGTTTAAAAAGGTAACAGGCAACATAGATAAGTATGTGAACAACCGAGTTCAGTAGCTGCCCATTTGCTGTATAAATCAGTTTAAGTGCGATTTGAACAATATTTATTCAAGAAAAAAATCATTTTAGATACTGGAGAACACGTACCCTTAAAATATAGACCTTCATTTAAAGTTACACCCTGTATACAGGCTGTTACAAATTCACTTCTCACTACAGTAGTTTAAATGGGGCCAAAGTTGCATAATTAGGGGACCAACATTATGCCTCTAAAAAATCAAAGCTAACAACATGATTAGTTTTCGAAATATTTGAAAAAAACTGAAATTTTGGAAATTCGTTTTTGTTTCATTTCAGCTTTGTTTGAATTGCTATTGAAAAAAGAAGAACACTTTCTCATGGCAACTTTTTGCCCTCTATCGAATGGCATAATCAGTTTTTATATTTAACGTTTCGTCTCTCCAGGACCATCAACTTAATTTTTTTTAAATACGACCCTGAAAATTTTGATATTTTTTGCAAGCCTTCATCACCCCCAATACTGTACTGCCTCAGTCTGAGCCAAATTCAGATGTTCTGTTTCGAAAAATTCATCTTCAATGTATTCGTTCCAAATTTATCTAATTTTTTGTAGATTTCTGTTTCTTGAATTATCGTGCACTCTAAGTGCCGTTAAACCCTGTGAAATCCACCTAGTTATTTAACTTATTACCATCACACGTTACAATAAAACATTAGTTTTAATCTCGTGCTCATAGTTAGTTCTAGGTTTCGCGAATGCTCAAAATTCAAATTTTGATATAATTTTTTAGAAAATTACATATATCAGACATGTTCTTTTACATTTAGAGGTAAAAATACATTCCGATCATCTTAATTTTCAACATTTGCCAAAATGGAAACTTTTTGAACATTTACTGTAATTTTTTAAAGTATAATATTAATTTTTTGGAGTTTTGGTTGTTTATATGCATTTTTAAGAATTAATTTACATAATGAAATAAAAATTGTAATAATGTTTTAATTTTGACGCAACAACTTATGGAGTTATGTATGGCCAGGTGATGGAGATTAAAACTCAAATAATGTTTTATTGTAATGTGTGATGGTAATAGTTTAAATAACTAGGTGGATTTTACAGCGTCTAACGACACTTAGAGCGTACGATAATTCAATAAACATAGAAATCTAAATAAAAAATTTAGATAAAGGAACAAATACATTGATTTTTCGAGATAAAATGTCTGAATCTGGTTCGAGCTGAGGTAGTACAGTATTGGAGGTCATAAGGGCTTGCAAAAAATTTAATAACATTTCCAAGGTTGTATTTCAAAAAAATTAAATTGATGATGGCCCTGGAGAGACAAAACGTTACAATTAAAATTGATTATGCCAATCGATAGAGGGCAAAAAGTTTCCATGAGTGTTCTTTTTTCAATATCACCTCAAACAAGGTTGAAATGAAACAAAAACGGATTTCCAAAATTTCGTTTTTTTTTTTAATATCGAAAACTAATCATGCTAGCCTTGATTTTTGAGAGGCATAATGTTGGTCTCCTGATTGTGTAACTTTGTCCCCATTTAAGTTACTTCGTATCTCTTACGGTTCCAAAGATTCCTGTAGTGAGAAGCAAACAGCCTGTATACACAGCGTCTGTTCTATGATTGAATTTTAAGAGAGTATTTCTAAAGAAAATTACTCGATAGACACTTCATTTTTAAGATACGGGCTATTGAAATAAAAAAAAATATTAGGCTTAGTTTTAGCTATGTCTTGGAAATCAAAGCAATTGCTTTCTCATTTACATGACGATTAATAGCCAGCAGACTTTTTTCTATATAAATGAATGACGTAAATAAAAAAAGATCTTATTTAGAATTAAATATTTTACTGCAAAAATTGTTCTTTTTTTTTCATATCGATAAAAATGCAGTTTTCACCAAAAATTGTTTTCATTCAGCGCTGCACAATAATATTTCTACCCCTCTTTCTAACTGCAAGGATGAGCCCAGAAGTCGAAGATTTGTGCAGGAGAGGGGGCGGCATATTATTATTCAGCAGGCCTCATGTTTGATCAGGAACGACTTACATATATTGGTAAGCTTTAACCACCATTCAGTGCAGGAATGAGGGAAACCTGGAAAACCTCAGTTAGGGAGTGGTCGAACGCCGAAAAGGTATCAATCTCTCACATTGACTCAAGACAATGTTCTTCCACCCTACCATACTCGTAGAGAGGGTGCTTAATTCCTCTCTACGGTCTTACGGCCGCGGGGATCGAACCGAGCAACAGTAACAATCATCGATTCAAGTATTGACACCTCAAACCGCACGACCACCGACCAACCCTTATTATTATTAACTTCTTGTATTTAAATATTATAAAAGAAATGTGGATGGTCAGCTGGTCCTTTAGAAAATATGATCTGGAACAAAAACAAAATCTATTGAATAGAAAAAAAAATAAAAGTAATTTCCGAAGCAGTTATTCAACATTCCATCATTCATAGTGAAAGGTAAAATACTTACATATTTTTTAAATGTGATTTTTGTTTTAGAAAGTTTGGACAAAGATTATACAAGCTACTATACAAAGATAGGATATTCGACATTTACCTAAAACGGTACTTAGAACGAGACGTGATACTAAGATTGAAAAAGTGTTTGAAACCTCCCCAATAGTGAACGGAGAACTCGCAATTTACTCTCATAGGTGCACTATTTTAGTATAGCATATATTTTTTATAGTTATGTGAAAATAAAATTTTTCTTTAGGAAAACACAAATTTTTATTAAGACATTTACTTGCGTATATATTTTTTTGGGCATTTCTTACAATAATACATTCATAAAAGGTTCTGAAAACAATTTTGTGCAATGTAACAATTGCAAAATTAACATTCAAGTAGAGATAACATTTCTTCAGTCAATATCTATATACGAAAATGTATAAAAATAAAAATAGGTATATAAATTTTATCTATATACAGATTTACACTGGTGTATGTAAAAGCAGGTTTTACAATTATTCATCTGTTAAGATGGAGAAGGTATATAACCATAAATTTCCCCACTATAACTTTGTAATAGTAAGTAGATACAAGTTTTTTAGAACGATATCCAATTTTATATTTTATAACCACAATTAATATTTATGCTAATATAAAATAAACTTAATTCCAGGCTTCTGATAACATATTCTTAAAAAAAAAACAAGTTATGAGGTGGTAATTTTTGTAGGAGGTTCCAATTTAAAAAACTTGTTTTAAATTGAACTGTACAGCAAATGTTTTTCTCTGCATTTGCCACAAGATAAGCAAGTTTTATTATTAGGGTGTATACCAATTTAGTAAACCTGAAATGAACACAAAACTTCCTTGACAGAAAACTTAAATGGGCAAAATAATACAGAATTATAAAAAATCAGTGTCAATTCATTATTTGCAGTTCAGTTGAAAACATTTTTGAATATTTCTTAAAATATGTAATTTGTTTATTACAATAATATACAGGGTGTTTATTAAGTACTTGTACAAACTTCAAAGGGTGAATCTTTGACAAATTTTAAAGAAAAAATTCGGGAAACTGGCAGTATTGATGACTACAAACTCAAATATTTACTTAGTTTTTTGTTTAATGTTAGAGGGCGCCACATGGTGTTGTACATGGATTTAAATAACCATAACTTTTTGTGTCATACTGTATATCACTTTTGACTAAACATACCATACTCCATTCAAAGTGTTACCTAGTTTGTTAAATATTTATGTGGGAATTATTGACAAAAAATTTAGGAAATGGCAACGATTGGAGAACAGAAACTGATACAGAGCTCATAGCTTGGTAAATTGGAAAATTGGATATCAGGATATTTGGTGAAAATTTAGTATACACCCTAATTATGTAGCAAAACCATTTAAGATCTAATTTCATAATAAAAAACGGACTGTTGTAAAAGAACAAGACCTATTCCCGTTAAAATAATCCAGCTGAAACAGTAGAACGTTATGGTGCAGAAATGTGTAGGTTGTACACCTCGTATTCCTAAAAACTTTTGTGACCTTTAAAACTGGCTTATGAATATACAGGAAGCTTAAACTTAAATCGGCATTATGGCTAACTTAATTATTACTGGAGATGCTACCGGTTCAATTACTGAAGCTGTAATAATTCCTCTTCTCATTCCCAAAATACACTAAAGAAACGATAACAATATGATATATTTTTTATGGAATACCCTGTATATCATATCTGAATCTTCAGGATTAGAATAATAGAATAACAAAATAGGTCTATTTCTAACAGGAGGAACAATTAAAGCATGTAAAATGTGTCAGCTGCTTACCCCGTGAACAGATTTTGATTTAATTTTGTGATCAGAGCTTTAAGAGTACAAGTCTACCAGTTTGAAAGGCCAATCAACTACTACACCCATATATATGTACACATAGTATGAACTTTACGATAATTGTAGGTATCAGCTCTAACTCTAAATATCAAGTTTTTCTTAATAAAACATCACATGTAGGGGATATACAACAAGTATAACTTTTTTAGCATCTGTTTAAGTCACATTTATCTTTTTAAAAAGAAGGTTGAGAAGAGACAACCTCAAGAATTCTACTTTCAATACTATTTAGACACCTTTGCTGGTGCAATATTCTTAACATGACAAATAAGCAATTAATCTCAATTAATACACTAAAAAATTACTTTTAGCAATGAACCAATTCAAATGAAAAAATTACAATGGATAGTATTCTCTCCTTAAACTAATAACACAGCTTGACATTAAAATATGGTACAGTGATGTTCGGTTATTATTACGACACTGCTTTTGATTGACCATATATTGCAATATAGCTCATCCCAAAATTTAGTAGAAGAGATATGTCAATCAAACTTACTTTCTAGTCTACTAGTGGAGATGTAGGTAACTAATATCATAAATATGGTGAAAAATTTTTTATCACCCTGTACAATAATAAATTTGATTTGATTTGGTGTAAAATTTTTCGAGAGATGTTTTCTCAATGATTAATGATTTGGGCGAAATCCCACCTATGATTGTAAAGAAAATGTACCTTTAGGATTTTTTCGTATGTGGTAGTGTTTCAATGTAAACTATCTTTTTTTGTTTGTATAACGCCTTGTTACTATTTTTGACACCTTGAACAACTACCTACTTTGAAACTAAAGGGTGGGTCCCTATTTACGCATTTTCGTATTCTCTCATTTGTCTCTGTTAAACAATTTCTAGCAAATTGCTGTGTTTTTCAAGTACAAAAATAGTACCAAGCTGATATAGAAATAAAAAAGATAATTTGCGTCGAAATAGAAAAAAACGCAGGAAAAAATCCAATAGATTGTATAGTTCTTCCGAAGTCAGTTGAACATGCATAAAAAAACCGAGCAATCAAATTTAATGAGTTTCATGGGCGTTCCTAAAGAAGTTTTCTGCTAAAGGTAGAATATTATAATAATTTGTATATAATGTGTAGAAAATTTCTATTATATGTTCATTTGACCAACAACATATTTTAATTATGTCTTCAACCAATTTTATTATATTGAGGGTAAATTTCATTTTGTTCCATTTCAAAAGGTCTCCAAAATGCCATGTTGTAATAATATTAGTAAACCAAATATCCCTCTTATTTTTCCCTTTCGCAATTGTAATATGAATAATTAATAGAACGGTGCCTATAATAAATTAAAATTATCTGAATCACACCAAATTCCGCATACCCGCACTGCACTGCTAGGCGACTAGTTGACAACTGAATTTTGACAACGCAATGGACTAGAGAAACAGTGCGCATTGTTCTTTGCCCGTACGCTCATTTTTTGAATGGGAGTATAAAATACAATATAGGACCAGTACAGTTGATATTGAGTTTCTGTGACCATTCATGGAACCAAGACAATTCACTTCGAGAAACATGAAAAATTCGCATTGAAAATATGCTTATTAGATAAAAACAAGGACAGTAATAAAGTTATATCTGAATTTGATTAATGATTTCTGAAGATAGTTCATGAAAATTAAAGAGGTCACAGTTTGATGAGCCTGAGACTCATATCATTTTTTAGGCACAAGCAGAGAACCTGTGTTACGAAAGAATTTTGAACAAATCTTGTGAAATAAAAAATTAAAATATTGGACAATATTAAAATAAAATCAATAGGTAGAAGATCTTACAAAAAATACCACCTGGAAACAAAAAATATGGTGATATAGAAAAAAAAAATTCTAATAGCTGTTTTACATTGACAATTTATTGATGAATAAATTGACAAAGTTCTTCATGAATTAATTCACGAATTTATTTGTAAACAGTGTGGTTTTACATTGCTACAGACTTTATCAAGTTTTTTGACGCATGAATCAGTTCTACCAACAAATCAAAGAAGCAAATAAATTTCGAAAATGTCACCTTTCCACTCATAATTGTAGTGATACATCAGCGGTACTGTTTTGACACATATTATATAAATATTAGTTTTTGTAAGTAACAAATCGGTAAAAACAATGCAAAACTAGTATGACGCCACAATTATTTACATATTCCAATAACATAACCTCATTACTGATCTGAGGCTGGAAATCTGTTGGATTGGTACTTTCGAACTTCACGAAGAAATTAACGAAAATTAGAACATGCTCTAATTCGTCAAAAACTTGATGAATAAATTCATGAAGTTATTTGACAGCAGATTTGGTGCATTACACTTGTCTAATTTCTTGATGAAGCGACTTCATGAATTAATTGATCAATAAATTGTTAATGTAAAACAGCTATTAGAAATTTTTTACCAATATCACCATATTTTTTGTTTCCAGGTGGTATTTTTTGTAAATTTAGCATAAGGCCGTTGATTGGACTAATAGAGACGGCTCAGAAAATCACAAAATTTTCGTTTTCCTTAAAATTACAGCATATGAATTTTAAAAAATACAATATCAATATTAAATTAAAATTTAAATGTGTATCAGCAATAAATTTTGCAAAAAAAACACCAGATTGTATTCATCGGCTGATTAAGAAAACAAATATTTTTAATTACTAATTTATTTTCTATTCTCCTATTTTAATTTTTTATTTCGCAAATTTTGTTATATATATTATAAATACATATATTCTATTATTAACGTCAGTTGAATAAGGAAAAAATATTTTGCAAATACACTGGCAATATCTTATTTTAATTTTTTATTTCGCAAATTTCGTTCGAAATTATTCCATTTTTTCAAAAATACATATATTCTATTATTAACTTGCATGTTTTTAGTATATTTTTTAATGTATTAAGCTAATTGAAGCAAAATAAAAAATAATATTTTTAAAAAAACGTCTGACTTCATTTGATAGAATTTTTTTAAAAACATTTTTTATATTCCTTTGAACATAAAAAATGAGTAAAAATAAAAATTGACTATGTGGATCTAAAAAAAAAGATTCCACGCTTCTTTATGACCAGTTTAATTTTTGCGAGCCGTTCATGTTCAGAAGCTATTACATTGTAAAGCGCATTTTGAATTATTTTTATATGTAATTGTTTGATATGTATTTAATACAAGAATTGGCATTATTTTAAATCGTGCTGTAAACCACATTTTTACTGGAGAAGTCAGTGAATAATCTGCAGGTACTTCGATAAATGTGTGTTTTAAGTATGATTTTCATCTGTTTTCGCGTTACACTTAATGTAAGTAATGGTATACTAACCCTCAACATTATTCCATCAAACAAAATTTTTTCGCTAACATTTTGTTGCAGTAATTATTGTTAAAATAAAGTTTCTTAGTTTCCTTTTATAAAAATAGTCATTCTCCATCATGATTTACGTATGAACTGATGGAACGCCATTAGTTACGATACTAGCAACTGTGATTAAGAAAGAACATGCAGGATAGTACAGTGTTGCAATATTTCACCTATAACAACTACATGCCTTGTAATTTAACAGTTGGTTCGAAATTTTTAACTTATTTATGATTTGAACCGATTTTTATTTGGTGCAATTAAATGAAATTAATTGATAGAACGCATTAAGCGAAATTATATCCGCCTATAACACACATCGACGATCTATCATATTCTACAGCAGTGTAATATTGAATTGCACACATACTTAATGCTAAAAAAGATATGTGAAATGTGATCACAAATTCAAAAAAGGGAAGACTGAAATTCGACAATTTAAAAAAATAATGAGAGAGAGCAATGAATCATTGTTTATGCCATGAGAATATACCATGTTGTAATCCTCTAAAACGTTCTTCGTTTATTTCATTACAAACGGATAAGATGTTTTTTAAAGTCCATTAGAAAAATTGGAAGACTAGCTTTATCCAAATCGTTCATTCATTTCATTCGCATAAACGTTCCCATTAAATATTTTTTTAATTCTTCGGGATGATCTAAATGGCTCTCCCATCCTTACTTAGTTTATTGGATCGAATCACCTTGTACAGTGCGCGAAATAAGAGAAGACCAGACGAAGCCAAGCATCAGCTAAGACAACACCCATAAGTTGCTTTACACAAATCGTAAGCGGCATTTTTCAGATTCATAGATCAGAAAATCACAGCCAAGTCGTCGAAGACCAGCGGACCACAATAAGTCTCGACAGCACATCTTGCACTATCACACTGCCGAACTTTGCGAGTGAACACAATGTTAATAATGCCTGCATTACAATTGGTCAATATTATGATTGGCTGCATAAAACCATCCGGGGTATTCTTTCATTTCACGGACAATACCTATCGAGCAACAGGAAATCCTACACTTTTATTAACACTAACAGATGTCATTTTCTACGCCCTCTACTAGGATTCAATTTAAATTTACCCTGATGATTGATTATCTAAAACTTTTATACCACACCCTCCACAAAAAATAATATTTGGAAATATTGAGCTATCCCCGTTTTAAACAAAAACTAGTTGTACCTCCTCAACCTAATACTTGTGGTTCTTCATGAACTCTGTGTGGTTCAGTACGATATTGGAGACGATTGTGTCCTCAATTTCCATGCCGCTTAAGATCTGCTCCCTTGAGAGTACTACCTCGTAACTGTTGTCTGACGTCACAAAAACGACCTTAGTTCTTCTCGTTTGCAGCATATTTCCAATTACCAGCTAGAATGTTAGAAAATAGGGAGTATATATACATTAGATTGTACAATATCACTTACTTGGGATATTTAGCATTTATTTTTTTTAAGGCCAATACGGGGATTCTGGAATAATGATATGACATCATAACATCAAATTATCCTATTTTTAATGTAATTAAGGGTTATTAGCTAGATTCAATATCATATTGTGATTCCAAAATTCCAGGCCTTGTTTATAATTATAGTGTTTTAAATTTTGTTTATCTGAACTCGACAACTTAATTTTAATTTTAAAAAATAGTGGGGGCTTCTATTAAAAAAAAAAAAACATGAAATAACAAATAAATCATATTTTAACTTCACATTATTTATGAATTTTATATTTACTTTCAAACTGCAGGGAGTCACCTTAAAAAATTCGAACCAAGTGATTCAAAAGTGACTTTTTTTATAGACTGATTGTCGTCAAACTTGACCCACACACACATAATTTTAATTGTCAAAAACTTCTACTGAAATGTACCAATATTATACAAAAATGCCTATATTTACATTGTAACTTTAAAAAAAGTAGAAACGTGCCGCGGACATGTCAACTGGACGTGTCGTGAAAAGTGGACATGTCCTGAGGACACTTTTCAAGATTGAAAATGCGCGGACGCGGAATTATTTGTTGCATTCATAAAAATCTTTGAGGTTGGTACATGTAAAATTAAAGATATTTAGCAATTTTCTTGTAATTTTGTTGGTAATTGTTTAACTGAAACTGACATTTTAAAAATATAACCTCTTTTATATGTCCATATTTTATTATTTTTGGCAAAGTTAACAATTAGTAAATAGTAATCAGATTCTTTAATATTTAATACACAAATAGTTTATAAATGAAGTATGATGCCAAAATCAACAGTTTGGGTAAGTATATTTTTCTGAATTGAGCTCAAAAACAATTTTTAAGAATTCCAGTAGGATAGAAAAACATTTAAATAAGTGTATTGGCTGTCCAGAGAAAATTAGAAACCAGTTTATAAAAAAGTTTAAAGGTAGGTAATAAGTAAAATATATCGACACATATTCATAGAATAAAAGTAATATTTTGCTTTGTGTACCCTTAAGCAGTGACCTGTGAAAACATGACGTCACTCATAGGTGCCTTATTAGATTCAAGGTCAAAAGTACTTTTCCCGACATGTCCAACGGACATGTCTGTAACACACTTTTCTGAAGTGCCGATCTCTAAAAAAAGTGACCTAAAAGTGAGGTTTTTTTCTATTACTTCTACAAAAATGTGTCTCCAATGATTACTCTTCGAAAAAAAAAAAACGACAAAAGGTGATCTAAGTGACCTCCCTGGAATCCTTGACCTTCACCTTCACCAATATGTTGGACTGACAAAACACTAAACTTACCTTATGTTTATACTTGTTCAAGGAATCTCTGGCTTTAGTAATTAATATGCTTTCATCAGTTTCTAATTTAAACGACACAATGTATGCATGTGGAACCCATACACTAACAAGGGGTGCTAACATTTTTGGAACCAGTTGAAGTTGGATGTTTGGAGCACCAGAACCCGATTGTATCTTATGTGTCGGCTACGAAAAATAAGAATTGGTTTATAGAAAATTTTCAGTTATAACAATAGAAAAAAATGACAAAATAGTTGCATTTATTTTTAACAACAATTTAAGAATTTTTTTTAATCCGTTTTTCACTATACAAAATAATGCTAGATTATTACAAATATAATAGTTTCATTATCAAAACACATACCATTTGGTTGGATGGAACATAAAAATCTGATACAGCCGCAGCTAAATATAAGACGGCTTTGGGTCCACAAGCCGCTAAGCACTCACAGGCAGCTCTCAAGAGCCAAAAATAATCTGCCACGGTTGTAAAATTCACGTATAATATCCTTCCACCTTCTTGTGCGGATTTGTAACTAGCCAGTACTGGAGCCAAGACATCAACGCTATCTGGTTTAACTAAAAAATTAACCAATAATTTAATTTATAACGTAGATACTGAAAAATATACTCAATCAATATTATTATGATATGTACATACCTGTGATAGCGGTATTTGGTCCCCTCTCGTGTAATTCGAGCATATCCATGAATTTTTGCCCACTGAAGTGCCTGGTGAAAGGTTCCAAGGAATTTAGTCGATGCATAAATATAACAGCATAATTATGTTCTAAAAAGTACTCGGCGGAAGCAGCACCTCTAGTTCCATAGCTGAAATTATCAACAAATCTCACTGTATTATGCTCAAGTGGAACAGTTGTGCCCCCAGACTGAAATCACATTCGGTAAAATTAACAACTATAACATAACCTCAAATAATGTTTTAGAGTTTTGTGAAATACTCACCGTTACTAAAACAATTCTTTGACCGCATTTATTGTGCCTTTCACAAAATTCTTTCAGAAGGGTCCTGTTGTCTTCGAAATCGCTGGGAGGCAGGTGAGTAGCATAAAACTCTTCCCAATGTGAGGCCATTTTGGTAGGTTCAGGGTTCTGGGTATCTGGGTTCAGTGTTCACGTTGGTTGCCCATAATGTTGGTTTAGAAAATTACATATTTGATTTATGTTGGTTTATTCCAGACTTCTTAAATCTACATTGTTTGTGTTCTATATTATATCGTCTGTCTCAAATTCAACCACCAAAACCAAGCCAAGAATGGCCTTAGCAACTCAGCATGCGTTATTGCGTTGGAACGTTGCATCAACTTGCAACCTGCTTGCAACGGTTGCAAGAAGGTTGCAAGTTGCAGTAGGTTTGTTTATACATATTTATACATACTTCCCCACTAGACGGTCAAGCTGCGTTCGGTATGGTTATTAGAAACCAGAGTGACAAGATAGTAGTTCAGTAATCTGTGGACAAGAGTTAAGAGTAAAATCACGTGACTACCGTGCGAGTTCCTAGCGGGCAGCCGACCAGAGCACACGTGTTTTGTGAAAGTGTAGTGCAAGGAGCAAATTCTACCTGCCTTTATTAAGGCTACCTGGAAAGAATCCCTTTCTTTCCTTTTAATCACCGACCTAATCCCCGGCTTAAGCATAGACGCCGTCGGCATCTTTGTTACAGCACCTGTGCCGGGGTTATGCCCAGGTAAGTTTTTACTTATTTATCAGTTATTTGCATTACTTTAGAATACATTTCTTTAAAATTGCGACCCCCGACAAACAATATACCAGACAGACAAATACACCAAAAGACACGTACGCCCCCGTGAGGGGGCATCCCCACACGACTAACACTTACACACCTTCCC